ATTGTGTTTTCTGAGGTCCAGGGTCAACGCAGCCACATACCAGGAAGTTTTAGAGCACTTCATGCTTCCTGCAGCTGACCAACTTTTTGGAGATGCAGATTTCATTTTCCAACAGGACTTGGCACCTGCACACAGTGCCAAAGCTACCAGTACCTGGTTGAAGGACCATGGTATCCCTGTTCTTAATTGGCCAGCAAACTCTCCTGACCTTAACCCCATAGAAAATCTATGGGGTATTGTGAAGAAGAAGATGCAATACACCAGACCCAACAATTCAGAAGAGCTAAAAGCCACTATTAGAGCAACCTGGGCTATCATAACACCTGAGCAGTGCCACAGACTGATCGACACCATGCCACGCCGCATTGCTGCAGTAATACAGGCCAAAGGAGGCCCAACTAAATACTGAGTGCTGTACATGCTCATACTTTTCATGTTCATACTTTTCAGTTGGCCAACATTTCTATAAATCCTTTGTTTTTATTGGTCTTCAGTAATATTCTAATTTTCTGATATGATGAATTTGAGATTTTCATTTGTTGTCATTTGTAATCATCAAAATTAAACAAAATAAACATCTGAAATATATGAGTTTGTATGTAATGTATGAATATAATATACAAGTTTCACTTTTTAAATGGAATTACTGAAATCAATCTACTTTTTCATGATATTCTAATTTTATGACCAGCACCTGTATAGGAGCTCCTGCAAAAGGGCACAGGGAAAACAAAGGAACAAACAAGTGAAAAGAGCAACAGCAACAACACCGGTAGTAGTGAAGTTAGTGAGCTATTCAGAATTATGCAGCAGCTGTACGGAAGATTATGGAGCTGTATGTCTGAGTAACTGACTCTGCGTGTATGTGTGTGAAAGAATGAGAACCTGCTGCCCTGATTTCCAGATTGTACTCAGTTATAATGCAGAGGGGCCACCAGCTGAAGCCTCCCTCCCCAGTGCTCCAAAGAAGGCAGAAAACGCCTCTAGACCCGATCCCCCAGAGGCCACCCGAGCCCAAATCTCAGGGAGACAACTATAGAGACAACCGGGCACCACCCAGAAGGCAACAGGGAAACTCCCGCAGGGGAGCCCCCCACCACCCTAGGGTGGTGGGGAACCATGAGCGACAGCACACCTGCACCCACACGGCCCTGTCCCCCAGACACAGGCCGAAAGCCCAGCCCTGCAAGCCGGAGCACCATCGACCCTAAAGTTATCTAAAGTTTATCTTTTGCTTTCCAGTTCATGAGAACAATTTTCTTTGCAAGGCATAGCTACGTATGGATCATGTGAACTGACTTCCTTTCTATGTTGATGCCATTTAGATCACGAAGTATACACAGTTTGGGACATGAAGGAATACTGCACTGCCATCATATTGACAGTTGCTTGCAGACCTCCAACCAAACTTGTGCACAGGTGGACAGGACCATCCATCCATCCATCCATCCATCCATCCATCCATCCATCCATCCATCCATCCATCCATCCATCCATCAATCCATCCATCCATCCATCCATCCATCCATCTTCTGTCACGCTTATCATAAGTGGGGTCGCAAGGGGTGCTGGGGCCTATCTCCAGCTTTCTACGGGTGAGAGAAGGGGTACACCCTGGACAAATCACCAGTCCATCGCAGGGCAACACAGAGACCATAGGCGTAACTTCCTTAAGGACTGGTGTGGACATGTCCCCACCAATCTTGACCGGTAGGGGGACAGTCCCCACCAATATTTTGTACACGTATTTTGCTTTCGGTGCTGTGTATATCTGATTAAAACCCCATTCATTCCGCTCCTCAGAAAGAAAATAAAAAAAGTTCTCCCCGCTGCTCACCGTCCACAAACCCCGACAAAAAACTCAGAAAAAAGAATCTGTTGCCTCTCGCTTTCTCCCCATCACCCCCCTCCGCCCTCTCCCCATAACACCTGTCGCTTCCCTCCAAAAATGCTAACCCATTCAGGGACAGAAGTGGACTCAGACTTGCAGGTGAGAGGGACTTGTGGAAATATTAAGACCTAATTTTAGTCAGGAGAGACTTAAAGTAGTAAAAGAATAGAGAATAGTGTACAAATAAGTTAATACCGTATTTAAAATATAACTGAACCGTTGGAAAAAAAACTCAAACCACTCTTTTCCGGCCCTGTTATGTCAGCTACACTAGAGTCCTGCAACGGGTCGGGTACCCGCGAAAAATACATAAAAAAAAATAAACGGGTCGGGCGGATATTTTTTTAGTGCGGGCGGGTAGTTGGTGATTTTTTTTTATGCGTGTGTGTTGTTATGGACATCAGAAATGTAATATTAATCAGGCACTGGGTGCAGCGCAGCGTACAATAGCCTATGATGGGTTAACGGGTCGGGTTGCGGGTTAAATATCAACGGGTCGGGTTGCGGGTTCGGATTTGAATTCGATATTCGCGGGTGACGGGTCGGGTTCGGTAGTCATCCTAACGGGTTCGGGCGGGTGCGGGTCGGTAAAACTCGACCCGTGCAGGTCTCTAAGCTACACTACATTCAGTATCGTTGCCATAGAAACAGACAACAGCGCCAATATATCAGAATTATACTAAAACACACGCAAATAATTTCCCACATAAAAAACAGGACTTTCAGTCCATTACAGTTTTCCGTTTTTAGAGGGTTGTTTATTTTGCGTTTATTAAGTGATGGCTGTGGTATATTAGCTTTCACTGCTATAAGCTTTCGCAGCAGTGATTGATTAATTTAAACACCTGCTCTGCTGATGGTCTATCGGAGTTGGTGTTTAGGTTGAACATAAAGAATACCTTTTATTTGAAGCTTCTTGTAGCTACTGTTTTAATCCTGGCTTTACTTAAAACTTTTCCCTGACTTTGATAGTGTTGCCATTCAGTAGCAAGCACTGCGCCCCTTTTTCTTTTATATGTACATGTACATTTAAGATTTAGCGTGTTAAGTTGACAACTCATGAGCAAGCTGCTTTTTGCAATCTAGCAGGAAGGTAAGGATAGGATCTTGCAGGTGTGACGTCACTCTGCAGGGGGTCCAAAGATAAAAGATTTAAACAATTTTGGCATTGGAATTTCAGATTTAAGGGAGTTAGAAAGTTCACTTAGTAAAAGTGCAAATAATAAATCTGATTACCGATTACTTTTAAGCTGGTTGAACATACTGTACTGCGACAGACTGGTGACCTGTCCAGGGTGATCCCACCTCTCACCCAGAACATGGCTGGAGATATGCACCAGCACCTTCTGATCCCACTGAGGGATAAGGTTAAAGAAAATGGATGGTTGAACATAGTCCGCTCTCCCAGATTCTATCAAATCAGTATTGATACCCTGCTGGTGGATGTTCTTGACAGAAAGACGGAGTTGCTTAATCATATTCTGCTTTAGGCCCCATAAGATCTTGTCCGAGTCCTGGTTTAAAAGTAAATTAATTTTAAAAAGTGACCCAAAATTGACCGTCAAATGTTCTACAAAATTGATATATTTATTTGATTTCTTTGATTTGTACTGTCTGTTTAGATTTATGTGATATTTTTTGCACAAAATATATAAGTGAATATTGTAACAGTTATGTTTTCAACTGTAAGCATTAAATTGATAAATGTTAATTGCATTTTTTTGGCTTTATCCTTTCCAACAAAAAAAAAAGGCGTCGCACAGGTAGCTTCCTTTCCTTATGAGCCGTCCCCACCAACTTTCAACACAAAGTTACACCCTTGACAGAGACAGACAACCATTCATGCACACACTGCCACCTAAGGAGAATTTAGAGAAGCCAATAAACTTAAAGGGGAACGCCTTTTTTTTTTTTACATTGGGCTCTTGATTTTACGTTATTACATCATGTTCTACTCACCCATATGAGTTTTGTGTAACACAAACAAATTTTCTGAACTTCACCCACCGTCACCCCCTCTTAACCTCACGGCCCAAGACTCTAGGTTCCCATTACGCTACGGCTTCCCACCACCAGTTTCCGGGCCCTGATAATAAATCTCCTAAGCTATTCATCCAAGCACTCTTCATCAATCAGCATCAAGTCTGCAGGTGGGCTCAAGCGCCAAAGAACTGTTAATTCACAACAAATAAACTTATTACTAATCACATTTTCTTTGTCTGTATGAGTCTCTCCAGGTTGATATTATTGAAATAATGGTTCAACCCCTCCTGAAGGCAACATAGTCCTTCCTTAGGACTGTCAATCATGATACTATGTCCTTTGTAACAACACCCCCTGTGCAAAATAGGAGTCAAAGTGAAAGTGGAAGGATAAAAAACTTAGATTTTCTTCAAAATACTTCCAGAATGAAATAAATATTTTATCTAAGCCAGAAAAAAAAACTTTGAACGCTTCTTTATTTAAAATTTTTTTGGATGATTTTTGTTGTTGTTGTTGTTTTCTTATTTCTTACAAAACATTCAGTTTTAAATTTCCTATTTATTTTTTCAATTAAAAAAATCCCTTTTTTCATTAACAAAACTTTTGGCCCTAAAGCTTCACAGTATTGATTGATGCCTAAATGGATCAACTGTATCAAGACATGCAAATGCTTTTAACAGTATTGATCTGATATTGTAAGTTACATTTTAGGTTTAATAAGGTGAAATATTCGTTTTTCTAATGTCAAAGATATCAAAATGGACATAATTGCTGTAACTAAAATGAACTTTTTATTGTATATAAAAACGATAAATCTGTAAGTATAAATGTTTGTGATTTTTCGAATGTACCCTACTCTCACTCAAGCTAAAATTATGAATTTGCCACTCACAAAATGGCGTCTGTGTTGACGCGCTAAATCAAGGGTCCTAAGCGAACCATTTGTCGCAGTTTCTTTAAATTGCGCCGTTTATCTTCGCTGACTTCTGTTAAAGGCAAGAATTTTGTTTTCTGTACTTTTTTTATATTTAGGCTAGCCATTTTCCCTACTAAAGGCGTTTCGAGATATAGAAATATGTATGTCTATGTTTTAACAAGTGTGGCAGTTGTTGATAACAAAAGGAAATGACGTCATCTTCCGTGGCCTCCACATATATTTTCAAAACGGTTGGCGGTAGGTTATTTTTCATCTATATCTTTAATTTTAGGCATGTTCCATTTAAGTTTTGTTATATCCTAGCGTGGAATTGATAAATAATGGTTATGTAACCTCGCCAAATGGCGGAGATATGTCGCTTATGAGGATAGTTTATTAAAGCGAAAAATATGAGTTCAAAATTACAACATGCCAGCTCATTTAGTCCTAATATTTTATGCATTTCATATATTTACTTGTATTGGAAGTAATCCAGTGACCGTAACTCAGTTCCACAGCGTTCAATTTCAACTTCTATCAAGGAGGTTAAACTGTTCAACATTAGAAAAAAAGTTTTGTTGTCACTTAGGAACTTGCTTTGGAGATAAGGTGCTACCCATAGTCAAACATACAGTTGACATAAATAAATATGCATAAAGTGTGGGGAAAAGGGGCAAGCTATACAGTATTGGTATTAGAATAGAGACTAATAGTGCAACTTTTTGCAGAGGAAGATGACAGTGATCGAAAAAAAAAATACAATATTGACAATTTGAAATGAAAAAGTGTTCATATGTATTGAGATATTTGTGTTGTTTGCATAAATAACATTACATGTCATTGAAATATTTAGCCAGATGAACCATGTCTGACAACTACAGATGATCAATACAGACATAAATTAAACTCCAAATGGTAAAAGTTGCAAACTGATGGAAGTACAGATAAAAACAATGGGATAAAAGTAGAAAACTAGACATCGTTTACTGTTATCATGGCCATGTTTGCAAAATCAATATTCTAAATTTCCTAAGGACTCATTTTGATGCAAATAGAAAGGCCTTTACCTGGGGCTTCAGTTTTATGACAGTTTCTCAGGTTAAGTCAAGCTTATGTAGAGAGGAAAAATAGGCTCTCTTTTTTTGTCTGTCACGACTATAGTTGAGAGTAAGAACCTAATCATACTTTTAAACCAAGAACTTGACCTTTTGGCTCAACTTGACTCTTATTCACTGTGATAATTCAGCAGCCACATCTCTGCAGACAAAGCTTAAAGCTACAGTGTGTAATAATTACAGGCATATAAATTCAGAAATTTAATATATTATACATAACTATGTTATTTATCATCACCTATGAGCTCAGCCTTTTAACCATAACATTTGCGTTGCCTTAGAATTCGTTATTTATAATTACATAGGAGCGGGTCTCGCAGCCATGGAGGCTGACATCTTTGCGCTACGGCAGCGCAGAGGCAACAAACTAGCGATTGCGAGATCTCCCATGACGCTCGAAAATAACTACGGCAAGTTGAGAGAGATGAACTGAGACGGTACTGAACAGTAGATGGCAGTATTATGCCTGAGAAGCGTTTAGTCTGCCTGAAACCAAAGAAGAAGAAGAAGCAGGTATACTGCGCCTCGGTAACAAGAAAGGTAAACAAGGCGGCAGGCGTGAGTGACTTTGCAAACTGTTTGGCACTGTGTGGCCAAACATCAGACGAATGGAGGATCATGCCTACTCTGTATCACAACGAAAAGCGGCGGACACCGAACCCCCGTCATCTAAGAAGCGGAAACACGACGAGAATAAACGCAAGAGTGACAAGAAACGACAAAAAACACGGATCAACATTGGCACGGCATTTACACGATGGAAGTCACTGATGGAGGAAAAAGGTTTTCAAAGTGACGCTCAAGTTGCCAGTTTTCTCTTGGACAGGTAATTAATCCTATACACACAATTGTCTAATATCACTGCAGTTTTTGGAGTACAGGATGCTCAGACCTGTCTAAAACAATAACATGCTGCGTGATGATGCTGTTACTCTCCAGTATACTTATTCAGCAACGTCCCTGACGTTTCACAGGTAATGATTCAGTAATTTTCTGTAAAATAATTTTCTGGATATATACCTCGGTTACTTCTCTCCAGCTCCTTTGGAGATCTTCAAGCCTTTCCTCCTCTGCTCTCACCCCGCTGGCTCCCCTCTCTCGCCTGGCCCCAGCTGCACGCTCACCCCGGCCTCTCTGCCCTCTTCCTTTCCCTCTTCCTTGCCTTGTAACCCCCGTGCCACAAACAAGACTTGGACTCTGTAAACGGGGAATATATATTCTTCCAGCGAACACAATCTCGCTGTTAAACTAATGACTACAATTACTTCGTCTGTTTATATCACCATGCAAAGCAGCTCACCAAAACGTCACAACGACGTAGAAAAAATAACGGGTATATTTATTATCTTAAGTCTACATGAAATCTATACCCTACACAGACTAATGAAATACTATCTGTAAAATTATCTATGTAAACAAACCTCATCACTTGAGAAGGTAGGTGATGCGGACGTCGTGGAAGACATTTTGTCCCGTAACGCTCGCCGTACTGTTGGGGGGGAGAAGCGGTGGGGGGGAGACGTTCATGTTGCTGCAGTCTGACCGCTAGATGTCGCTGAAAATTACACACTGTAGCTTTAAGACCATTATCTCCTATAAGAAGATAAGAAAAGATTTACTCTCCACTGCTTGAGGCAGACACTGATGCCCAACTTATTAAAGCGATCCTCCCTTTTCTTGTTTGGAGCAACAGCCTTAGAGAAACTGACTCATTCTGTTGCAAGCTGCTTAAGTGCATCTTACAGATCATGACTTGCACATGATAACAACTTTACATAAGATAGATTCCGAATCAATGCTCACTACATTCAAAGTGTGTGATCTGAGTCAATTTAATGTGAACCAGAAACAAGTTTAAAAAGTGTCGAGAATGTCAATGAAAAGGCTCGGCTGAGTTAGTCTGCTTTAGGAGGCCCCCTGGAGTCCCTTGAAGCTTTTCCTGGTATGTCCCACTGAAAAGAGTCCCCTGGTCACACTCAGAAATCACTAGAAGGACTGTGTCTCTCTTTTGGCTTTGGAACACCTGATGATCCCCAAGAACTAGCTCAAGAGTGTCCCAGAAAGAGGATGATTTCTCTTGGAGCAGTTAACTACTAGATCCAGCCTCATGAATGCAAGAGGTCAATCTAGATGTGAAACTACAAAACAGTTTCTTGTGTTATGTTGGTAATGATGTGAACTGTTTTAGTTTGGCAGATTCCAGAGTAGTGTGTCCTTCACCAGAGTCCATTTCTCAGAATAATCTATTGCCTTTTTTGTGTCTTTTGAAAGGATTAAGTAGATGGGGAATAACCAAGGCCATATTCTACAGTATAACTTCAAACTGGATCTCTTCTAAGGTGAGTTCCTAACAAACATAATGAATATTATGCAAGACAAACTATATTTTCAAGACTTTTTACTTATTGTTTTCAGTCCTTACTTGAGATACCCATTTAAAGTTTTCTTTCTTTAAACAAAGAAAAATAAAAGATGCTTCTGTGTTATTGATAGCTTAAAAATAGATTGGAATACTTCAGTCTATTTAAAAAAATAAATAAAATGTTAGATTTGTAACTAATCAAAGCACCTTAAAAAAGTGAAGTTTCTCTATGCTGAAGAGCTACCTCTATGAGAGCTATGAATATGATGCTTCAAGACTGTGTCAGAAACCTTTAGCCGATAGTTTGGGCATAATCCAAGCTGTGTGCTTCTTTTCAGGCAGTGAAGAAATGGCTCCCTTCAAGTTTGTCATTAAGGTACGTAGAAAGAAACACAAACCAGCCAACCCCTGTATCCTAATCTCAGTTTGATGCTAGGGAGCATGTCTACTGTGTAAAATTTGGGGCAATAATAATAATAATATGCATAAATTTCTATCCTTGAACACCTTGCAAGACATAAAAATGTCTTCCAGATAAAGAATAAGTTAAAAAATATCTTGTTTTGAAGATGATATCAGGATTAATGGTTTTTATGCATGTAACTGACCAACAACTATGCTATGGTTTGGAGTGATTACTCTTTAGTTAGTTGGATAAAAATAGTTTTTTTTTTTTTTAGGAAATTTCCAACTTGCTTCTATTCATTGGTTTTAAAGAACTGTATAGCTCAGCAAGTGATATTATCTAGGGTATGCATTTAATCTTTTGTTTTTTTTTAACTCATGACATTTGAACCGAAAACATGCCTTTCAGGAAGCTGCCATGACTCATAGTGTTCTGCTTAAACCAAAGAAAAGTTTTGCAAAATCCCTGAGCCTGGATAAAGTAACTGTTTATTTTGCTAACATTTACAGTGTTTAAATAGAGTCCCTTGTGAAAGTATGCAGAGACCGTGAACCTTTCCACTTTTCATCGCATTACAACCAGGAGTTAGAATAATTTTGTGTTTTAGGACTAAAAGTTGTGCCAAGCTTGATGAGATTTAGTGTTTGTTTGTTTTTTCATTTATCAAGTCAGCCCCGCCGAGTCATTATTGTTTAGAATTTACCCTTTTTGCTGTAACTACCTCTGGCTGACCTCGCCTGTCATTGTACCTGGACCCCAGTATGTTTTTAGTTATGCTGTAATGTTTCAATCTTCAATAAAAAAAAAAGGGTCGATGTGCCGTGAGATGTTGGGAGTTAGAGATCAGGGCTGCAACTAGCAATTATTTTCAAATAGATTAATCCATCAAAAATGTTTTTGTGTTTTTTTTTTTTTTTTATTAATAATCAAATAGCCAAAGATTCTTTAAAGAAGACTGTACAACATTAAACCAGGTGAAACTCAAACTCTTCCACTTGATAAGTTCTTAATGGAGCATACTGATAGATGAAAAGTTTGATCTTAAATTATCTTAAATGCAAAATGTTTCTATATTTTTATTTTTATTTTTTTTACAATTTTTTTGTAATTACCTCTCTAAGTGGGTCGGTCTGTCAGCTAAAGACATGTTTTACAGTCTCTATACTCCAGTCAACGATTTTATCAAGTCAGCCCCGCCGAGTCATTATTGTTTAGAATTTACCTTTTTTGCTGTAACTACCTCTGGCTGACCTCCAGTTAACGATTAATCAATTGCTAAATTAGTTAATGCGGTTGTTTCAGCCCTACTAGAGATTGTTACCAAAACCTGCTTAAAACTCCACTACAAGTTGCTCCTTATCCTGTCTGCTGTTTTCCTTTGTTTTTTCATTCTGTTTATCCACTAATGCTTTTTAACTATCCTTTGAAGCCTTTACAGCACAGCTGGATTTATGAGATTAAACTACACACATGTGGACTAATTTACTAATTGGTTTGGATCTGGTTGACTGCTGTGGATTTTTCGGGGGTATCTTAGTAGAGGAGGCTGATTATAAGTTGGAGTTTCCCTTGTTTTATTTTTTTTGTATTTTTTGTTAGCTTATAGAGTCATGTATGATTTCCTAGTTACTTAAGATTGAGTGTTTCATCAACAAAATATATTTCAGCAATGGATATACTTCACTCAACAAAATATATTGAGGGGCTTTACTGAAGGGTGAAAAAGTAAAACGTAAATGAATAGCTTTATAATCCCCGTAGCAAGCAAAGCAGCTCCCAAACCTTTCATTTTCCTTTGTATTCAGGATTTTTCTTTTCTTGAATGCATTTTTCTGTTGTCCACTAGAGGGAGGTAAATATGTATTTTTCAGCTCTCTGATCTCCTTTTGCCAGTCTGCACTGACTGCCCCTGGAGGCTTTTGTTAATGGGCTCAAACATCCAGCGCAGAGGAAACTTGCTCTATTACTAAAAGGCATGCAGTTCATCCTCAGTCTGTCTCTCTCTCAGGAATAATGCACATCAGATGTTTTTGTTAAGTGCAGGGAAAGCTGTTTCTCTCTCCTTTTGTTGATGTTTCATTTATTGAGAGGATTGGGTGAGGGCTGCCGACATTCACGCTGATCCCTCACATCCTCCATGATAGCACGTGTGCCTATTTGAGCAGTTATTGGATTCACTCTCTGATACGTTTCATATGCATGCCTGCATAGGAGTTAACCCACCACCACCCCCGCTGGCTGGTTGTGGGAGAGTAAAACCCTGAAGGTTCGAGGAATGTTCCGTCCCACTTGGCACATAATGATACTGTTGTTAGTCGGCCTGAGAAAATGCGCACAGCCTCCACCACTCTTAACCAGCTAACCACGGACAAGTATGTTAAAATGAATCAGTCCAAACAAAAGCAGCCAAGGCTCCGTACGTGACCTCTGTTTCACAAAATAAGGTTCTTATTGAATTGAATTCTTCAAAAATCTACTGACTTGTTTCTTTGCTTAGAGATAGATAATTATCAAAGGATTCCTGAGTAATGTGAATGGATTCTTTGCCTCACTGAGAAGGCTGTTGGGTTTTTTTATGATTTTGTCTCCTGAAGTGTTTTTAAAGCTGCTCCCTCAGTGGAACTGCAGGAGGTTGTGGTATGCTCCTTCTTAAAAGGGCTTAGACTATATGGTGACCGACCTGCCCCTCCTCAGACCTCCCGAAAAGGGGCCTGCAGGCTAAAAACATGATCCACCGATGTGCTTGCTTGTCTGGCAGGATGTTGCTGCAGCAGATCTGCCTTCTATTAGCATTATTCACTGCTGACTTTCCAGCCACCCAGAGCTGATGTCTGAGACCAACACACACACACACACCTCCACAAGCACACCTAAGTGTTTTAAGAAACAAAACCGTTTGAGTTATCACAGAACAGTTTTTAATGTCAGAGGTTTATGTGCTGCGTAGTGTTGTCACTCTGTAGATGAGCTCATAGTGGACCACACATCATGCCTCTGTGCAAAATCTTTGAGATTTGCAACCAGAAACATCTTGACAGATACAGGTTCAAGAAACACACAAAAAACAACAAAAAAGTCGTAGAAAAGTTCGTCTTTTTGTTGCAAATAATGGTGCCTTTTCTTGTGCTTTGATCAAATCTCTACTTTCACAGCTGTAACTCTTTGGGGTATCTCCAGACCAGCTTTGCACAATGACGGATTAAAATCCTTGCTTTCTTCACATTTATTTACTTTAATCGGAATCCTTGGATCTATGTTTCGAGTCATTGTCCTAGTGGAATGCCTGATGCATTCTTACTGGGTTTATATTAAAGTTACCCTATATTTTACTTCATCTTTTATCCCAACACCCTTGACTAGCTTTCCTATCGTTGCACCATGATGCCACCACCCTGTTTTGGTGCTGGGATTGTGTCTACAGGGTTGTTTTTTCCTCTTGTTGATCTTCCATATAGATCCAGTCATTCTAAAAATAGTATTGGGAGATTGTCATGGATTTTATTCATGGATGCATGAGTAAAATAAACAAAAATGCACATCACCACCATATCTTTTGCCTCACAACTTACTACTATGTTCATGTCAGCAGGAATCCATCTGATCAAATCCATTTGATGTTTGGGATTTACTATTGCAAAGTGATGCATATTTGAGAAGTATTTCCAGCATATTATTTCTATCTACTAATTTCTCCAGGATGTGTCTGCTTTAGTTTTGTTTGCTGAGTGTTACCTGGAGATATTCCTGTCTGTTCTTGCTGCTGAAATTCCACTCTTGGGTTGCGTCTCTTTTTTTTTTTTTCATCAAATAAATCAGGTGTGCTAACGTTTAAATGAATGAATGAATGAGATTTTTTCCACTCTGACAGAACTCTTCTGTTCATTGTGTTTTGAGAACAGGTCACTTGTAAATAAGCCTCAAGTTTTACTACTTAAAATGTGGCTGTTTAAAGATAGGAAAGAGGAAAAGTTTTTCTTTTCAAGGGGAAACCCAGGTGACTCATTGCAGAGAGAGAGAGGGCTGGGAATGAGGCAAATAAAGCCAGAAAGCAGGTCTGTCAAGCCTGCACTTCTAAAGAGCTCCCCTGGGTTCTTTGCAGATTGCAAAGAGAGAGAGAGGGAGTCAGAAAAGAGAGACACAAAGGCAGAGTGGGAGAGATGCAAGTTTTATTGAGTGAGACTGCATCCCCAGCCCCTTCCCTCCCAGTGTAAACATCTGCGGCTGGTTAGTGTTAGCCTCTGAGCTAAGTGCAGTCCGAGAAGGTCTGGTTCTTATACTGCGCGATAGTGATGGAAAAGGGCAGCGAGGTGGGGAGGCAGTGAGGTTGCTTCCAGATTTTGGGCCCCGTGCCCATCTCGAAGCGGCTCAGTTAGGACGATGGGAAGCTGGGTCTGGGAGACAGATAAGGGAAGGTGGAGAGTGTTCTGGGAACTGAGACTGATATAGACCAGAACTCCAAGGAGCAGAAAAGGAAAAGAAGCATCAGAAAGTTTAAGTCAGGACGTGTTTACTACTTGCAGAGAGTACTAAGAAGAGTCTTCATTGCCTTCAAAAACTATTCATGCCACTTAACCTTCAATAATTGTCCTTATTTTCACTACATTCAATTTATTTTCCTGGGCTTTTATGTGGCAGACCAACACATACTGGTGAAAGTGGAAAGAGATGATGCATTATTGTGCAGATTATCTGAATTCAGCTCTGTTTTCTCTGTTGACCTAAAATAAAAAAAAGAAGTGCCGCCAGCTATCTTCAGTAGTCACCTAGTAACCAAACCCAACCTGTGTGTGAATTAATCACTGCATGAATCTTGGCTATGTCCTGCCACTTTAAGGTATCTCCCTTGCTATGCAGATTAATCAAATGGCCAAACTGCCTCTCTGGGATACAGGTGAGCGCAACAGAACTCTGCTGAAGCCGGGCATACACTGCAATATTTTCAATAGTTGCATGCAGCTACAGCTCAAACT